GCACCATCTATAGGGAAATTCCGGTTTCATACTTCTACACCTGGTAACAATAGTTTAGGCGCTTACTTTGATTAATTATATTGCTTCTTGCTTGAGATATAATGAACCAAACTTTCAGTTTGAAATTGGACATTACATACTTAATATTTATATATGATTATATACGAAATATTTTTTGACGTGTTAGAAAGAGCATATATTGTCAATTAAAGTAAGATGTAACACATTTTAAAGAAAGTTACATAATAGTCTCAGAATACACTGGTATTTTAATAAGCAAAAAATATCAAATCAATCCTGAAACATTTATTTTATGTGGACTTTATAAACATTTTGACATGATATTCTATAATGTTTTTAAACTGTTATTTCATAATATAATACTCCTAAATATTCAACTCATAAGGTAGAAATATTATTCTCAACGTTTGAGTCAAATATTGTTAACATTAAGGTTGTGTACAATATTAAGAACTATATATATTATATTAGGTGCTTGAATTAATTCTCTGCTGACTAATAGAGATCAGTAGTTGTCCTATTTCAACATGGCCGAAAGTGACTATTGATGTATATGAAACTACTGTCGATAGGCTTTAATAATCAATGTGTGACATTAGATCGTAGTATAAAGAACACCATTTTTTATTGTAATGGAGATGTCGTGTTTCGTACCAAAAAAAGAACATTTATGAGAAACTTTACTTTTCTGCTTTCATCTCAAGAAATCTGCTTCGCGTTAGCCTCCATTAGCAAACCCATCGTTTGCTAATGGAGGTTAACGCGAAGCATGTTCTATCTGAAATAACTTGCAAAGATTAGTTTAGACGATTCAAAGACAAACGATTTTGACGTAAATGATAAAGAGCGCCCTGGTCAGCCGAAAAATTTTGAAGGTGAAGAACTGGAGGTATTACTAGAAGAATCTTCGTGACAGACGTTCAAAGAATTGTTCGAGAACACTAAATGTCGAGGAATCAACCTTTAATAAATGTTTAAAAGGGGAATGGGAATGATCCAGAAGCTAGAAAACTGGGTCCTACATGTATTGAGAGAAAGAAACATTGCGAAACGTCTAACCATTTGTGAATTTCTTCTTCAAAGACAAAAACGGAAGTCATTTTTGCATCAAATTGTGACTGGCGATAAAAATGGATTCATTACGACAGTCCTAAGAGCAAGAAATCGTGGATGCGTCTCGGTGAACTATCAACATCAACGCCAAAACAGGATATTCACGGAATGAAGGTCATGTTGTGCATTTAGTGGGATCAAAGCGGTGTTGTGTATTATAAGCTGCGGCTCAGAAAAGCCATGTATGCTGCATTTACCGAAACAAACGGTAATCTGAAGCACTTCAGTTCATTCGAAGATATCAAAAAATCGCTCAATGATTGGATCGCCTTGAAAGAACCTGAAGTTTTCTACTGTGGAATCCATGTGTTACCCGAAAAGTTGGAAAAGGTTGTAGTTTCCGAAGGATAATACTTTGAATAAGATACAATGTACTGTTTCTTGGAAATAAACATATGTTTTTATAGCTATAACAGCGATAATTAATTCAAGCACCTAATAGTGAATATCGAAAATAGGGAATCCAGTCTTGATGACTTTGACCTTAACATGTGTTGTCAATAACAACCTCACAAATAACCCGAATAACAAAAAATTTTATCCATTGCTTATTATTTATTAAAAAGTTACGAAAAAAGGAAGTTTGAAAAATGTAACATTTATTCTCAATCCTGGAAGATATATTTGATCTAAAAACTCGGAAAAAAAGATTATATAAAATCATATAAAATTATATATAATAAGTGTTTGCCGATATCTAGATAAAATTATTTAAATAATCGTTTAAATTAATAAACAGATCATCTTGATCTTTATCTACATAGAATAAATGTATTCATCTTATTATTTCATTTTAGATAATAAACATGTTTTCATGTCATTTAAAAATTATCTGAAATGATGTTATAGTCCATATTCTGAACTTACTTTCAATCAAATAAATGCAACATAAATAAAGTAATATGAACCTATGCATTAAACTCGTATCGGGCTAGGTATTAAAAATTAGATGTTAATTAACAAATTTCGGTTTTGTCTACTTTGGTCTGCTTTTTTTTAACTGCACTGCTGAATTAGTGCAACAAGTTAAAACAAAATAAAATATACTTGTCTTATTTTAACTTATTGCACCAGTTTAGCAATATAACTAAAAGAACAAACCAATTGTTTTAATAGATCAATCCACTTTAAACCCGTATCAAACTATCGGCTATAAGGGCAGACTCGACTACTAATTATGATTACCAACTCTTAACCAATTATAAAAGACTACAGTTACATGACGCTTTATTTTATGGTAAACCCTTCGCTTATTTTATGGTAAACCCTTCAAAAGTCGACATACTGCAGATCCTGCTCGCTTTCTGCCGCCAATCTGCTGTCAGAATCTATCAGCAGCATCTGTCGATAGACCAATAGCAGATTGCGGACACAGATGAGTATGGATCTATCAATCCTGATAAAATCTGTCACCAATCTATCGTCAGGTTGCAAATAGATTGCTTACTGGGTTTAAATATATTAAAACAACAGATCCTGTTCGGTTTCTATCGTCTATCATTAGATCTTGTTGAATTTGTGTTAGCAAACTGCTGACAGAATCTGCAGCATACACTGTGCAGAACCTGCTTTTGCAGGTTTGGCTAATTTACAGGTGACCATGGGTCTTTACTTCTCCTCGTTGTTTAATTTAATGTAACCCAAATCCTTTCCTCATCTATAAAAATTGTATCCAACGCTATTTTATCTTATTTCTTCGTCGGGTCGAAAATGATTACGAAAATGATCTCTACGTAATTTCGAATTTACGTAAAGTTACAACTTATACTCACGAGGAGAAGATAAGTTTGGATTAGATTAAGTTAAACAGTGAAGCTCCTCCCCCATAGTCACCTGTACATCGTACAAAATTGTACGTCATATTGATATTCAATTCGAAATTCATGTACGAGGGTGGTCCCTGAAGTACCCGACCTGACCTAGAGATGGCGGTAGTTGTTTGAAAAATATCACTGTATTAGAAAGTACACAATCTATAAAGTATATGTTTCAAGTTTGAAGACGCCACGTTGTTTAGTATTTGTTTGGCAGCCATCAATAGTGAACGTTTTCAGTGAATTTGTGAAAATGGAGAAAATTGGTCATCGTTATGTGATACAATACTTTTATTTGAAAGGCCTCAGCCCAACCAATATATAAGCTGAACTGCATTCTACTCTGGGTGAGTCTGCTCCTTCGTTTACAACAGTAAAATATTGGGTAGCAGAGTTTAAACGAGGCCGTACGAGCTGCCAAGACGAGCATCGCAGTGGTCGACCAAATGAGGTGACGACTCCAGAAATGGTGAAGAAAATCCACAAAGCGTACTAGATGATCGTCGACTGAAAGTGCGCGAGCTAGCAGACATAATAGGCATTTTAAAAAGTGCGGTACATCGCATATTATCTGAAAATTTGGACATGAGAAAGCTGTGTGCAAGATGGGTGCCGCGTTTGCTCACACTCGAGCAAAAACAGTGTCGTGAAGATGTTTCAATTGAGTGTTTAGCGAAATTTTAGCCAGATTTAGCCCCCTCGGATTATTTTCTGTTCCAAAACTTGAAAAAATGGCTCAAAGATTTTCCAACGATGAAGAAGTGATGTCGGCAGTTAATGGCTATTTTAAGGAGCAAGACAGTTCTTATTATAAAAATGGTATCGAACTTATTGAACATCGCTGGGAAAAGTGTATAGAGCTGAAAGGAGATTATGTTGAAAAATAAATACATTTGTTTCCAAAATTTTGGTGTTTTCTTTGTTGGGTCGGGTACTTCTGGGACCACCCTCGTATGTTGGAAATGTAAGAAATTGTCTTGAAATTATCCAATTGATTAACACATGGTTATACGGGACATTGACGAAGTTTATTAATACAACATACATACCGAATAAAACTGCTTAACATTTGATTAAAAAAAACAAAACAGAAAACTAAGTCTCGGCATATAGTGGATATTTGTATATAGCATGCATAATATATTTATTTATTGGATACACAAAGTATCAGAAAATTATGTTTCATTTAAGAAATTTTTGATAATAACTTTTTAATCAACAATGAGCGACGACTAAAATTTTCTAAAGATTACTCAGAAGGATGATTTTAATAAAATACATATATCAAGGTCAAAATCATTAAAGCTGGGCCACCTATTATCAATATTTACCTTACATATTTGAAAATATAACAAGTTATACAATTTCAACGTAATAATGTTGTGTTAATGATTTCTTGCTTACTGAGATAAAACCTAATATATCTAAAAAAACTGCAAAACTACTAGAAGTGCCTTTATCTTTATAGTAATAGTTTACTTTTATTATTAATTTGCCTTTATCTTTATAGTAATAGTTTATCTTTATTATTAATTTGGTATTTATTATTAATTAAGTAACTTTATCTTTATTATTAATTAAGCCCTCCCCTCCCCTCATAGAATACTCTGTTCAAATATTCATATGTCAATATATAGATCACGCTTAGGCTAATATAAGAACTGTGTGCGCAAAGAAACCGGTGACAGTTGTCCAGCGAGCAAAGTTGTTAGCAGTAGTACTTCAACCGAGTCGCGTGATTATCGATGTACCACAAGAATGATCGCATAGTATGCAAAGTGAGCAGTTTTAAAAAGTAACACGTTCGTAAGGTGCGATATCTCAAGCAGTTCGGATTAATGCTAATTAAAGAAAGACGTAGTTGTACTGCAGTGAATGATCACGTATATTCGTTTACATAGCAGGTACACATGTTTTTTCCGATAAAATTAAAAGGATATCAAATAAACATGATTACAAGCTACTCCTCATGATGCAAATATTAATCTTCTATCATACTTTTATCTGATGGATAAGAAAAGACATACATTTTTTCCTATTCTAAATAAGGAAATAATATATTTTCCTCAATTTTGCATAGCAGTTGTGATGTTGGATAATCCGTATATCGTCACTTCAATTCTTGTTATAAGTGATTACCGCGCAAACTCATAAATAGTGGCTCACAATCACATGACTATTTGATGCGCTTCTAACTTCATCGGAATGAATATATGTAAACCGTTGTGTGAACGAGTAAAGAAGACTGTTTGGAAATGAGACCGATCGGCGCAAAGCAGCTTTAAAAGATAACGACCATTGAGCGACAGTGTCACCGTCTTTTTCAGGTATTATATAAGGAAGAGGTTCTGCGATTAATTACAAGGCAGATAAGTTCCCAATCCTCGTGAAAATTCTGCATTCAGAATTTGATTATCGTGCGATAGCTTGCAAGGTAATTTACGAAAAATATCGATAATTCTTTCACAACAATCAGTAGACTATTAGAGGTCTATTCTTTATAGTTGAACTAGTGTTGCATTGGAAATTTGATTCTCTTCTTTTTTACACTTGGTTATACAGGGTGTCCGGTAATTCATGGAGCATTGCTTATGTGCAGGTAGAATTGATTAAATTAAGTAGATCCTCTACTATTTTGCAAACAACCATGCAAAATGTCAAGTTATTAATGATTTACACTTGCAAAATGTTGCAAGACTTTTTTGATCAGAGTGGCTTAATCTACAAGTATATAATAGCTGTTTTACCTAACGATACACATATATCAGTATATTGAACCTTAAACTTCGATCCGTGAACATGTCGTTAGGTACAACAGTTGTCATATACTAGTAGATTAAGCCACTCTGAACAAAAAAGTCATGTAAACTGAGCAGAAAAGTCATGTAAATTTAGCAGAAAAGTTCTTTATTATTTTGCAAATAATATGCAAATTCTTGAGTTATTAATTTAATAAGTCTCTGTACATGGCTATTTTTAATCATTAATAACTTGAAATTTTGCGTTAAAACTTTTCTGCTCAATTTAACTTATTTTACTTGCACAAATAGTGCTCCATGAATTATCTGACATCCTGTAAGTTGTTCTTTAAGTACTCAGCCATACTCAAGACCATTCTTTGCTTTATTTCAGCAAAAAAATTCATATAAATATATGTCTTAAATAGCTTAGTTTGCAAAATACAGAATGTTTTCAAAAAAATTTAAATTTAACGTGATAATAATCTATCTGAAATTTAATAATAATAATCTATTTGAAATTTATCTATGTGAAATTTAAATTTAATATGATAATAATCTGTCAGGAGTGCCAGTTACATAAACAAAAACAAAAGCAGCAGTAAAGAAAAATATAAAAACAAGCTTCGGTTCTTCAATACATCTGGTATCTTTAAGCGTGTACGTCAATCTTTAATGAAGAGAACCGAAAAGTGTATCCCAGTAAACATTAACCAACTGTAACATAATATCAATATTATATTTTCCCACTCAACAACGTAACTGTTATATAATACATGCTTCATATTGCATTTACGTAGTTGAATGGAAAATTGTAACACTAATATTATGTTACTATTAGTTGGTGTTCACCGAAATCATAGCAGAAGGTAGTCATTTTCAGCAACTCATTTAATTGTTTCATTTCTAATCTTTCATTTTTTTGGCTATTATATTTTTGAAGTATCACTTTTTAGTCTTTCTAAAACCTGTATGTGATATTCACATTTTTCTAAATACTTCAATAACCTGTATTTTGGAAACTAAGCAGTTTAGGACACATGTTTGTTGGAATTTTTTTACTTGAAATAAATCAAAGAATTACCTCTAGTATGGTTAGGTACTTAAAGAACATCCTGGACTTTTTTCACTCTATAAGTGCAATATACTTCAACTGTAAAAATCAGATTTTAAGACAACATAACGGTTGTTATCAATACTAATTCCTGATAAGAAAACTGTTAAAGCATTGCATAATAATAGCGTCATGAATTGACGAAAAATTTTGCTATAATTGTGCTAAGATGATTCACTATATTTGAGTTATTAATTTAATAAGTCAAATC